CTCTCTCTCTCTCTCTCTCTCTCTCTCTCTCTCTCTCTTTCTCTCTCTCCCTCCCTCCCTCCCTCCCTCCCTCCCCACTTACTTTCACTGTGAGGAACAAGCTCGCCATCTCGTGGCTTCTATTAACACTGACTATAAAGTAAAGCTTTTACACTAAGAATGTGGGTAAAGTATGGTCCTAGTTTCATTTACTTTTCTTCTTAAAGTGCCTCGCTCCATGTCTTCCTTCTCTCCTTCACAATCTTAGAAAGCAGCACTAACATGGACACTCGTGCTCTCTGTAACTCTGTGACATCTTACAGTGTCAATATCCTCTCTACCAATGCTAACCCCCTGGAGAGTTGCAAATCCCTCTAACAAACTGATGAGAGGCTCTGCACACACCCCAGAGGAATGTAACTGAATAAATGCTGCTCATAGAACCCATTCTTGCACTGTGTTGGGTTAGGCTCAGCATCTAAGTGGCACTCCGTGCTTATATACACCTGCTCCAAATCCAGCTTTCCTGATAGAGATCAGCTTAAGGGCAGCTTGAGGCTTCTAAGTAACTAAGAGCTTCAGAATAAGGATCTAGCCTGATGATAATAAAAGGAAAGAGGACAAAATAAAGCATCACTCATCTAGGTGATTTCATTAGCCTCTCACTTTCAGTCCAAAGCCTTATTCTTGCTTTGTGAGGTCACAGCAATCTTTATAAAACGTAGGGAGTACACGACTACAAGAAAAGGCAGTACATGCCTGAGATCCAAGCATCTGGAGGCTGAGCCAGTAGGCAAAGCAAGGCATTGTCAAACTCTATATCTAAATGGGTAATGACACTGTTAGGAATTTGTAAATTAGATCATTTATCTCACACAAAAATCCTAGAAGTTAGGTAGTGTCATTCCCATTTTTATAAAAAAAAAAAAAAACAGACAATTTAAGTCACTTACTTATGATCACATGCATAGGAAGTACTATAGCAGAGCTAAGATCTGGACTCAAATGTGTGTTCTTAAATATAAAGATGTTTATGTGTATTGGTGTTTGCACTGACATCTCCATCCATCAGTCTAAAATACTACAAGCTGTTGATGCCATGAACAGAAATGGCTTCCCCGCTCAGGCGAACTCACATACCACTAACCAAAATTGTTTCTTTTCCTATATTCACTATCTTATTAATGAAAAACACCTCAGCATATACACAATCAAGTAACCTGAGTTACCCTAAACTCTTTTCTTGTACTCCTTGCTCATATCAAACTGATCAGTAATTCCTGGTTGATTATTTGACCTGCCACAAATGCCCACATCTATCTAAGCTCTTATGCCCTTCATTATTGCTCATCTGCCTCAATTTACTCTTCACATGATACAAAAAACTTCCAAAAATCTGATTAAG